AAAAAAAAAAAAAAAAAAAAAAAAAAAAAAAAAAAAAAAAAAAAAGAGGAAAAAAGAATCTGGACTTTCTTCTGTGCTATAGTGGAGCAATGTGACTTTGTAATATACTGAATTTGAGAAGTAATGGAGAGACCAGAATTGGGTAAGAAAGAGATAGCTGGTTGACAGTAAGACAACAAGTATACAGTGAACTCATTAATTTGAGTTGTCAGAGTGTTCTGAGCTTGTTGTGTAGCATGTAAAACTTTCTTAAAGGTTTTCCATCTTTGGAATGATTCTCTAATGCTTTATTTCCTCTGTGACGTTTAGGTATATAAACAGAGAGCTTGATTTGTGTGTAGATGGAGAAAAAATACCTGTTTTTTGAAAGTACTGGAAGCCTTCTTAAATGCTTTTAATGGAGAGATTGGGAGGAATTGAAGCTGATTAGGAAATTCAGATTAGAAAAGGTCCCCACAGAATAGACTGGCTCTACGTGAGCTTTCTCTGATGAAATGGTTTAGTAGTCTGGATGCAGAAATCATCGAGGAGACTAAGGGACAGTCTCTGCTCTTTTGTTTGAGAGAGTGAACGTGTAGGAGCTGAACATAGTGGAACGGAATTCAGCTGTGTTTGGTTGCAATAGTAGCCTTAAGTCCCTAGAAATTAAATAAGTTCCTTGGATTTTTTTTCTTCCTTGATAATTTAGTAATAAATTTCAGTGTCGTCTTCTTTTTTTTTTTTTTTTTTTTTTTTTTTAAATCATCTGGATGACAGTGAATGGAATTTGTCTGTGGCTGATTGTCAAAAATGGGGCATACTTGTGTGAAGACCTTTTTTGGGAGGGGAAAGGACAAGCAGTGTTTACAAGACTTGGAAAGTAAAAGGTGACAATTATTATGTTAGTGTTCTATTTCTTGGGAAAAATGAAGCAAAAACTTCATGAAATTTTTATGTTTAGTCCAGAATTATAACATTGAACCAATTGAAAGGTTGTAAAAATATTTTTCCTTCACCATAAACCTAGGTAAAAAGTGTAAATTTTTCCAAATTGTTTCCTCATTGAAGATATAGAGAAATGGAGTAAAATGATTTTTTTCCCCCCTTTTTCCTCTCTCTTCTATTTTCTCCTTCATCAGTAGGCAAATGTCTCCTCTTGGTGACTATCCAGCACAGAACTTTGCTGCCAAGCTTTAGCTTTTTTTTTGTTGCCAGTTAAATTCACTTTATTTAGTAACTCTGATCAATTGTAGAGAAAGGAAGAAACTGCAGAGGAACTGATAAACTGGAATAGATGATCTTTCCATCTCAATCTTCTTCTGCTGTCTAAGAGGACTTGGGTTTTCGTGCACTCTTTGATCAATCTTTATAGTTCAGGTGTGGACAGTTTGGTTGAAAATAAGATTTAAAGCTGCTCTATTATTTTCAAATACAATGTTCCTAATCCCAAATCCTAAAATGGTTTGAAATTTTGAAATGAAAGAGCTTGTTTGTTTTTACATTTGAAATTAAGCTTTGAATCTTGTACACCTTGTGTAAGTTTCAGATTTTTTCTATATAAAGCTGACAAAAGTTGAAAATCTTGTGTATCTTGTCCTCAGACATTATAGCACTAAGTAAGCTTCCACATTTGTAAGACCTGTGATAATAGTAATATTTTGTGTGCATTTGTGTGTCTTTGAAAAACTTACCTTAATTTTTGCCTCAAGTTTTTGAATAGTAGCTGAATCTTTTTCTTTCTTTGAAGTACAAGCTAAGTTAAAAGGATGAGATTTAATAACTGTCATGGAGGGTCTCATCTTAGGATGCTCTTGATTCTATTCATAGAAAACAAAGATTTGACAGTCTATTTAAAACAAACTTTTCTTGTATTTTAATTGAGTGGCACTGTTTATTTGAAAACACAGATTTTGTAGCTATTTGCTTGAATTGCAATTTTCAACTAGCAGCCTGGCAAATCTGAATAAAAAGTAGCATCAAGTAAACAGGAGATGTCAGTTACTTTTCTAACAGCAGGAAAGTTGAGAGTCTGCTTTAAAATTAAGCTATTTAGTTATTTAAATATGTGAAATGTAGCCTTCTAGTTAGCAAAAAGAAGTACCAAATCAACCATAAAGGATCTGAAATCTCAAAACATTGTGCGTTAACTCTTTGATAATCATTCCTTCTTTAAAAAGAATTAAGATGTGCATTTGCAAAGCTGCTTTGACTTTAGCCCCTCTGTTTTGTATAATGCGCTTTGAAATGTGTGTGCAGTTCACAGTGAATTAGTTTCGGGGAAGGGCAGATACTTGAAAAAAAGATGTGTGGATTTTTGTTCATAGTATCAACAGTACTTAAGAGGACTGTGGCTTGTGGTGTGTGTAAATACTTCCAATTTAGCTCTTCTAATAAAGCTTGTCTAAACACAGATTACTTGTGAGCAGCTGTTATCCAAGCCCATGCAGATTCCACTTAGAAAGAGCACATGTGTCAACCCTGCAAACTCCCAGATTCTCCCAGACTTTTCTTGAGTTTCCAGCTGTGTCATGCCTGCTATTTTCCTCCTTTTGGCAAGGCTCAGTGCTCCCAAGTAGCTTTTTTTTTTTTTTTTTTTTTTTTTTAACCATTTGTATTTCTAGATGAAGCTAGGAATGCAATTTTTAATTTTTTTGAGTATGAATCACAGAATGGTTGAGGTGGGAAAGGACTTCTGGAGATCATCTAGTCCAACCCCCCTGCTCCAGCAGGGACACACGGTGCTCCAGCACAGGACACAGGGTGGCATCCAGGAGGATTTTGAAGACCTCCAGAGAAGGAGACTCCACAGCCTCCCTGGGCAGCCTGTTCCAGGACTCTTGCACCCTCACATCTCCTCATATGGAAGAGATATGAGGATTATTCTTTTGTTTCAGCTTACACCCATTGCCCCTTGTCCTGTCACTGGCCACCACTGAGAAGAGCTTGGCCCCTTCCTCCCTACATTCCCCCTCGTATGTTTGGTCCTCTAAAAATATTTTCTCTGTTTTATTACATGGGAAATACTTTTCAGTGCTTCTTAGAATAGCTCTGTCATTAACAGTGTCCTACCTTTTGGTTGTGGTGTTTTATTTCTTTTCAGCATTTTATTAAGATGAAAGGTTTGCCTTGGGAGAGCTCTGCTGAGCTACATCTTTTGTACTTGTAATTAGTTAGACAACCAACTTGATACCCTTACCAAGCCTTGCATGATAGCCTTGCCTTTACCCAGTCTTGCATGCAGAGGTCACCTCTCATCTGCTGCCAGCATCCTGGATAGCTTTATTTCTGGGCTGAGGGGGAGACCAAGATCCTCAAGTACTTCCTGAGGCAGGATGCATTTCTTTTATTTCTGTGAATGGATTTAGTCTTTTCAGTAACAGCAGTGACCAGGAAAAAAAGAAATAAACCACGTTCCACAGACAGGATCATAAGGTGCCTCTTAGATTCTGGCAGGAAGATATACTTTTTGTTCCAGTTCAGTCCTCCTTTGCTTACTGAATATGAAATTTTAAGCAATCTTCATTTGTTTGATTTCTTCTGATGTCAGAAAGGAATTGGTTTTAGCCCTAGCAAACTCGAAGGGATATCATGAACTTCAAGGTACCATTCGATACAAGCCTGACCTCTATAGAGCAGGTCCTCATCATTCCAGCCACAGCCCCCGGTTTCTTTAAGCACAAAAGTTCTCCAG